ATCAGAAACTCGCAATGAATGAAACCCAATCTCTCTCAAATCTCTTGGGTTTCTTCTCTAGATTCATCAATTCCAATCTCTCAATTTTTGATTTAATCCCTAAAAGATCCAATCTTTGTTGTGTGTGTGGGTCAATCGAATCTCCACTTGTTTCTACTGATTATCGAAATTTATGGGTTTGTAACGATTGAAATCATTTTGGGTCAATCGAATCTCTATTTTTTCTGGGTTTTTGTAATGTTTGGAATTTTATTGACTTGAATTGAGGATATACGAGATGGAGATTAATTTGACTTCTGGAGTAATCAAGAAGATAATTGACGGAGAAGTGGAGGGCGAAGCAGACATGATTCCGGTTATGCAAGTGACGGAAATGAGATCGGTTAAGGCGGAGTCTCGAGGTACAACGACGGAGAGGTTTAGAGTGATTTTATTAGATGGGATTTACTTGCATCAAGGAATGCTCGGGAGTGATCTTAACAAAGCTGCGGTTTGTTTGGAAGAGAAAGATATGGAGGATGGTTTGTTTAAGGTTCCGAATCTTGAAGAAGTTAGCTGAATTTTGATTCCTCATACGCCGGAAAAGCTTAATGAGCTTATTAGATTCTCTTTCGTTAAACCAATTAAAGGTGTTCCTTCGTTTTTTCCTCTGGAATTTTATCGATGTGAGTTTGTTTTGTTTGTGTAATTTCGTTATTGAGAAAATTTTGGTTTCTTTGATCAAATCAATTCTAAAAAGATCGGAGACTTTAAGATCTTCCTAAGATCAAACATGTGAAAATCGGGTTTCGGGTTTAAAATTGGTTTACTGTTTCGTAATCGGTTATTATACGGTTAAGTACGGTTTTGCTTTCTAATCATTTGGTTAAAAGAAATTTGGTCTACAGTAAACCGATTTTAAATGGATTTGGGGTGAAATAAGCGTTTAATGTTCATTATGTGGGGAAATAAATGTTTAATGTTCATTCTGTGGAGAAATAAGCGTTTAATGTTTATTCTGTGGAGAAATAGTACAAGATTAGTTATTCGGGTCTATCTGGGAGGATATAAAACTTTCAAAGGGGAATTAGTACGTTTCCCTCTATTACTTTGGGTGGAAGTTTAGAACATGTTAAACTTTTTCGCAGGCAGTGCTCAAATTCGAATTATTTTGGATCCTGTATAAATTGTCAAATGATACGTCGATTGAATTACTGACATAAAATCTAATTTATATGTACAAATATGTCTTCTTATGATGTACAAATATGTCTTCTTTTGATCAAACAAAAAAAATGATGTACTAAGTTTAACTTATGTCATACACTTATATATTATATCACTTTAACATTTTCCAAAACAGAGTCACTTTCGTCACCAAAAAACTGTAAGTCGCTTTTTTAGAGGTTTCAACTTCAATAAATAGTTGTTAGAAATTCTATATACATATATATTAGCTAGAAAATTCAAATGATTATAATTTACTACATGGAGCTGATCGCGTTTCATTATAATTCGATTCGTGATAGAATTATAATTAACAAGATTATGATATATCAATTAATCGTTTAGACTTTTCACGTGTTAAATACTTAAAACTTTTTTTTTGATTTTTCACAACATTTGTTTAAAATAAAATTTTCTATTTTCTACATAAATTATTAATTCATTCGCTGTTTGTTTAGCTTG